TGTGTGTGGGTGACAAGGATAGTTGCGGTGGTGGGGGCGCTGGGTGACCACTTCCACCAGTCGCCTTCGTGGTGGTTGCCCGCTTCCCTCGTCTCCACTCTCGCCCAGCGCACGCCCTCCGTCGCTGCTCGTCGCCAGTCACTCCTGTCAGCAAAGGGACGAAGTTGGGCACGTGTTGCAGAGGACGATCAGGGAGCTCTCGTTTCGCCTTGCCTTTCCCCCGTTGTGGATTGAGAGCACTTGTTCCACTGTGATTGATATCAAGTTGATTTTCCCCCCTTTGCGAGGCTGTGTGTGGGGGTTGGGCCTTTTTCGCGTTGGTGTGTCCCGTGGATTTGTTTTGTTGAGGAGGAACTTGGAACTGTCAACATGAGTAAGTAACTACTTTAGTGCTCCAGAGGGTCTTGCTTTCTTACCAAGTAATGTCATGTTGGTGCTGATTTCGTGCATTTACACTCACATGCAGTATGTGTTTTTATCATGTGCTGAGTTGTATAGAAACTCCATTATGCTATATGATTATATGCTATTGCCCTTCCATTAAGATGTCAACATCATTCGACAGGTTATGTTTAGTGATGTGAGGTATAAGTTAGACCTTTTACTAATGTTTTGTTAGTTTTCCATGTGATAATGGTGTGTTAATAGTTCAGTTATGATGATGTATTAGCCATTGTTTATATTTCTTGTCAAGCAAAATAAGAGGCTTTCATTCGCCCACCTTGAGAGCATGATACCAATCCACCTTGAATATGCCAGTTCTGGATGACAAAGTGGTCTCATGTGGGTTGTGTTCACCTCTTTTTTTTGGGTGTCTTTCTCTTTTACAGTTTTAAGTGTTCAATTCTCTAGAATTTTATTTGTTTGTTGGTTTGTTTTGTGGGGAGAATTCATGGAAGCAATCATATTAATTGTGCCTTCTTCTTTTTTTGCAGAGTGTGTAATGTTGCGTGATGTTGGCGCTAGAGCCTAGGTGCCTCAGTGGCGGCAGGCTTGGTGTTGGAGAAGGGGAGGAGCACGGCCAGCACGATGGAGGCCCTCACCACCATCACCAGTCCTCCCACCCAGGGCAGGAGACCCTCTCCGCCAACCTCCATACAGCTGCCCTCAGCAGTGTCTGGGGCAGTGCCTTCTGAAGAATTTGCTACAGTGCACGGAAGCTCTGGCTTGTCGGCCACGAGAAGACATCCTCCCCCTCATGCACCCAGAAAACATAGAGCCACACACCAGCGTAACTTGTCACTGGATTTCAGGTATATTCTTGTCCTTTTTTGACTGCCCTGCATGACTGATTTGTCATATATCAGGTTTATTAGAATATGATATTAGACCTAATATTTAGACCTAAATATGATGTTTGAAATATTGGTTTATCTGAGAGATGTGTTTTCAGCTTGCTTTTAACTGTTTAAACAATGATTTTTTTTTACAAGTTGCTACAAAATGCAGTCATTGATTATATAGTCATTAATTGCAATAAATGTATTCTTCCAGGTCTATGGGTATTGTGCTGCCACCCCTTCCACCATCTACCTACAGTGGCTCTCACCAGCGGAATCGCAGTTTAGACTCAGTGTTGCAGCGCATCCCGGAGGTCGAAGGAGGAGAGACCCCACAACACCCTCCCCCCTCCAATCCACCACTCAAGCCTAGTCTTTCCTTCACCTTCTCTGATGCCCCGAGCTTCAAGCTGCGGACAGACCCGTGCCGCACCCGAGCTCTGGTGGCCTCCGCAGTGTGCCAGCCTGTGGTGGTGAAGAGAGGGAAGGACCCCTATGATCAGACTAGCCTGGGGTCAGATGATTCTGGCATCTGCAGCTCTGAGGGAGAAACCAGAGAGCCCAGCACTGAGAGAGCGCACAGTGCTGACTGTCTAGATGCTACATTTTTTAACTCGGACTGTGAAGTGAAAAGTATATACTCTGAAACGCTAGATGGTGAGATGAACATGGATGACCCAGAGGGTGATACAGTGAGTGATGGGGGAGACTTGGGGGACCAGACACTTGTAGAGGACACGGGGGACATTTCTCCAAGTGACATTACTGTGATTGAGAACATGGATTCTCCACAAGAAACCGACCAAGGAGACGAGCCACTGGAATCTCCGGTGGAGAGCCTCGTCGAGGAAACACAAGCTACTAGTGAATTGCATACTTGTTCTGCTGATAATAATGATTCCAACAAAGAAAATGAATCCAAAAAAGAGTGCAGAAGTGATGTGAACAGAAAAGGGAGAGAACCAAGTGATGAAGGATTAAGCAGTAGTGGTGCCAGTGCATTAGTAAAGACGAAATTGGATGAAAAGCAATCATTACTTTTAAGATTATTCGAGAGTAAACTCTTTGACATGTCCATGGCAGTGTCTTATCTGTACAAATGCAAGGAACCCGGGGTGCAGCAGTACATAGGAAACCGTCTTTTTAGTATGCCAGCGAGCGAGTCCTACTTCTTCCTGCCCCAGTTGGTGAACATGTACGTGCAGACCTACGAAATTGCTGAGGTGCTCCATCCGTTCCTGGTGCATCTGTGCCGCCATGATACCACTTTTGCCCTCCAGTGTGCCTGGCTCTTGGAGGCCTTCTCGACTGACACTGCCCACCAGAGGAAGAAGTCTCACGGCACCAAGTTTAAAAATCTCATTCTCTCCGATGAGCTGAGGTGAGTTTAGCCAGTGCCTCTGCATTTAGTTTAGAAAGATCTTTTTTGAGAAGACTTTGTAAAGATGATTTATTTTCCTATGGCTGGTCTTTAAGGTTGTATTTTTAAATGTACTAATTTTTGTTTCCCTATATTATGAATGTCAAAATTGTTTACATTATATGAGATTTACTTAAATGTACACTACCATTGATTTAAATGTACACTACCATGAATTGCATATCATTATTTTGAATCCACCAACAGGCCAAAACAAGAGGGGTTTGTTGACCTAGGCATCGAACCGAAGGGCAGCCAGCACCGGCCGACCCTCTGCACTCGGATCAAGGAGCACCCAAGCCCGGGCTCGAACCCAGGGTCCCCCGTGACCGAACTGCCACCTCCCTTCACCACCAGAACCTCTCTCCCAACCCCCTCGAGAAAGTCGCACCAGCGGTCGCGGTCAGACGCCACAGTGGCACTCCAGACTCACGCCAGTGCAGCGCGGGGACACAAGCGTACTCCATCTTCAGGTATAGTTAGGGGCTTAGGGGGAAAGATCTTGTTGTTTTATGTTGCTGAGAAAGATTATAGTTTAATAACATTGACTATTTGAAGTTAATAGCAAATATAGTTGGAGATGTTGTAATTTTATATATATATACACACATAGTTTTAAATCTTGTTAGCTATAGTGATGTTTTAGAAACTAATGTCTTATCATTTCATTCTACAGGGAGCATAAAAAATTGCCTTGGAGACCTTACCTCTGGACGAGCCTTTGATAACGGCTGCACCTGCTTTGACTCAGAAGAAGCACGCTGCAATTCTTTGCGAGGAAAAACCATCGAGTGCAGTTGTGGGGTAGGTTTAGGGATTGATTGTACTGTAATTAAAGATGGATGACAAATGATACAATAGATACTATTCCTTGTAGATCTTATCAGGTTGTGGGACAAGACAAATAGTAGTAGGATAAAATTAGTAAAAGAGGTATGAAGGTTGAGATAAGCCAAATTCTGTATGGATAGTGCCATAATAAATGTAGTTGTTAACAGTAATAATAATAATGCATGTGCTTATGATGTTTTTATCCCCTCTTGCAGGCACCAAGGCTGTCTCCTGAGCTCGAGTTCGTCAGGGCCATGATCAGCATCGGGAAACGCCTAGGAGCACAGCCCACCAAAGAAGCCAAGACGTCTCGGTTGCTGGCGGAGTTATCTGTACTGAACTTGAACTTGCCAGCCCGCGTGTACCTGCCACTCTGTGCCAGAGAAATGCCACACCACATTGTGCGCATCCCACCACAAGCGGCTGTTGTCCTAAACTCCAAAGACAAGGTATCAGCTCTGGGCTTTTAGCGGATGTGCATGCTTTGAATTATCGTGTGTTTTGTTGATGTATATATATATATATTGTATTGCTATGATGTGGTTTGGAAATTGGTGCTCTGTAAAAATGGTGCTATGTACTCTCTGTGTTCTTGATTGCTCGATAAGTGTTATTGACTGTGCCAATAATGAAAGGTGATATCAATTTATGGTGTTGGAGGCATCGGATAAAACAAAAGAATGAATAAAGATTTTGTGTGTCTTACTGTATCCTATCGTCGTCTTCTGTTAATTCACATCCTATGATTCTCATACTCATTGAAAATCCTCAATATTGATTTAATCTTTGATGGGGAAAAGTCAACAATGAAAAGGTCAGAGGCTTGAATTATTGGCCAGGATTCTGCGAATAAAAGTGGTAGATGTAGTTTGAACTGAATAGAAGTAATTCAGTGAAATAAGCTGAGAAAGAACTCGGTAAACTCAGTCGAGATTTGCTCTATGCACATCATAAACTATTCTTCTGGGAATATTTAAGACCTTGTTTTGGAAGTATATCACAATGTGGTAACAGTCTTTTATGGTTGTAGATTAAGAACCTTCAAATATGATCACGACTAGATAACAGGAATGGTGATGCAAAGCGGAAATTAACTGCTGCATATGCCTTCATATTGATTGTCCTAAAGTTAATGTTTTTATAGGAAAATTGTTGAAGAGATTATGCAAGAGTCAGACAACATTGCATAATATGAATAAATGACACAGAAAAAATGTCAAGAAAATAAAACAAACCTAAATGCTTATACTTGATTGGCTGAATACTTGCAAGAGAGGCACATGAGATAGGAAATTACCCAGTACAAAATATTATCATTACACATTCACATTTTAATATATTTGCCTGCTTTATGTATTAAGCAGTGAATGAAAAGATATCTGCTTGTCAAAAGGGTAAGGCCAGGCATCTGTATTCTCATTTCATTTTTTTTTTTCCTCTCTTTTTCACCTACCAGGCACCTTACATCATCTATGTTGAGGTTCTGGAAGTCGACAATCTAGACACCGCCTCAGTGCAAGCCAAGCTCACCCATAGTCTACGTCACACGCGGTCCGAGGAGAACCTGGTAGATTCCCCCGCGTCCACATCTTCATCGCAGTTGGACCTCACAACGACGCCCACAACAACAGCTACCGTCACCACCAGCGGCCTAGGTTCTACGTCATCCATACCATCTTCGTTAAGCTCTCCTCACCTGAACTCAGGTATGTTTGCTTGGCCTCGTTCTCTCTTTCTGTTTTCTTTGGCATTATAATGATTTTACACAAAGCCATATAATGAAGCACAGTTTTAATATAGACTTTACGTAATTACTTACGTTGCTCCTCAAGGCTATGTTGACGAATCAGACTGTTGGAGTCATGAGGATGATGAAATCAGCCAGCAGTACTGCAGACTCAAGAAGCCCAGGGACCGCGATACCATCTCAATGATGTCCCTTGACTCGTGCGACTCGAGGGAGCTGACGGCAAGGGGAGCGGCAGACATCCGCAGAAGACTCTCGGAGACGGTCAACGCCCCCAAGACAGGGTTCAAGAGGGACCCAGAGGACCCTTCTGCAGCTGCCTTGAAGGAACCGTGGGAGGATAAGGTAACTTGTAGTGTGTGGACTTTGTGCGATATTGTGAGATGGTTTTGACTTTTTGTGGGACATTCTGAAACATGTCCTTTTGATAATGTAGGGGGGTCTATTAATGGAACAAAGTATTTTTGATAATACAGAAATGTTGCTTAGTTTTGATAATGCTGTAATGAAAAATTGTGTTCACTGTGGCATTGTTTTGTGAAATGCCCCTACTTATAACTGGCTCCACAAGTGCTTAGCTACAAATGAGTCAATTAGCAGATCTCGTGACTTCACCTGCTTTCACTTTCTATGAATTTGTAGTAAAACATTTTTGACATCATATTGATGTTGTTTATATTACACACATTATAATTATTATAATGTTACTGACATTATTAACAACAATATACCAGAAAATATTTCTGAAAATCGAGGAAAAGGGTTAACAGGTGAGATAGGTATTACTTGTAATAGGTTCATTGTGTTAATTGTCAGTGTTCCTTCCAGTGCTCATGTTTTCACTTCTGTTCATAGGTTGAACGTATCCGTGAGAGCTCGCCGTATGGCCATCTAGCTTCGTGGCGGCTTTTGGCTGTCATTGTAAAGTGCGGAGATGACTTACGACAAGAGCTGTTAGCTTACCAGCTGCTTTGCATGTTCCAGAAGATTTGGGCTGAAGAAAAACTTTCCCTTTGGCTCAGACCCTACAAGTGAGTGAATTTAATATGAAAACGAGTTTATGTGTGTTCCTTGTCTTTTAAACTGTCTGTCTATTGACCTACCAGAAAACATGTAAGAAATGTATTTCTGTGAACTGAGAACATACTTGAAATTTCTACATGAGCTCTTCTTTTCATATTGTAAATTAATCCTTTCCCTCACCCCCACAGAATTCTGGTGTTGTCCGATGACTCAGGTATGATTGAACCCATTGTGAACACCTGCTCCCTGCATCAAATCAAGAAGAACAGCAAGATGTCTATGCTGGAGTACTTCATTCAGGAGTTTGGAGATAAGAATTCAGAGGAATTTTTGACTGCACAGAGAAAGTTTGTTGAGTCCTGTGCTGCCTATTGCCTCATCTGTTATATTATCCAGGTTAAGGATAGGTAAGTGAATTGATGTTTGATTGATATATACATCTGTTAAATCTGAATGGTTAGATTTTCATTTTGATGCTTGGTATTCTCAAGAAATATGTCTTTTCTTTAGATTGACTCTAAAGTATTGTTTTATAATCCTTATTGGTTTATGAATGCTCTCTCATGTTTAGGTCTCATGTAAAAAATTATAAAGAAATCAGAAGTTTTACAAGGAACTTGTATTTCTTGTGCAGTATATCTCTGTGTTTATATATTCTCTGTTTCCACTAAGACAATTTCTAACATACTCAATGCCCTTCTGACAGACATAATGGGAACATCCTCCTCGACAACGAAGGCCACATCATCCACATCGACTTCGGCTTCATGCTGTCCTCCTCGCCGCGCAACCTAGGCTTCGAGTCATCGCCCTTCAAGCTGACGCAGGAGCTGGTGGAGGTCATGGGCGGCGAGAACTCGGACATGTTCGCCTACTTCAAGATCCTGCTGCTGAAGGGCCTCCTGGCAGCTAGGAAACACAGCGAGAAGATCATCTCTCTTGTGGAGATCATGAGCTCAGGTGGGACACTGGGGCCAGGGAGTACGTGGGGTTGGAATGGGTGATGAGGAACCAGTTTTGTGTGATTGAGTGTCTGTGTGATGGGTTGAGGTAGAGTGTATTGTGTTATCTTGATAGGATACATGAGTGTGAAATGTAGATGGTGATTGGGAAGGGTTGGGTGATGAGAAGTTTTGACATTTTTTCCTCTTTCTCTTCATTTTTCTGGTAATGTCTTTTGTAAAGGGTAGGGTGCTGAAAAGTTTTGATATTTTTTCCCTCTTTCTCTTCATTTTTCCTGAAATGTCTTTTGGGAAGTGTGAAGTATTAAGGATGTGTATGTCATTCATCATTTGGTTGGTGAAGGAAGCCTGGTTTTAAACAATCTCCAATATATATATGTCAATTCCTTGTCTCACTCTCCCTCACATTACTTTACATAATCCTTTATTTTCCTAGTTTTCTTCTTTTTTTTCTCCTTTTTCTCTTTTCTGTATTTCCCCCTTTTTCTCTTCTCTTAACTTCCTTATTTTTTTCCATATTTTTTTCCTTAAAAATTGGATTCATTGTCATTCTTTCACTAGTATTTTTGAACAGTTCTTTGTACTTTCACATATTGATGAATTTTATTTAGCAGTATTATTGTTTTTTTGTATTTCTCAAACAAAATAGGGAAAGCATGATTTAGATGACAAATGATAATATGTTTTAGCATTTCTATGACTTTAGTGAGCTGTAGTGACTCCTGATTATTTATAGTATGCTGCAGGTACACCAATTCAAAGTCTAAGAATATAAGCAATTCAGTACAAGGTAGTTGCACCTCTTTATTTATCTGTCTGCTATTTCCCGATTGCAGGCTCCAAGTTAGCATGCTTCCGTGCCGGGGCGTCAGTCCTGCCGGCCCTAAAGAACCGCTTCCACGTCAACATGACTGAGGAGCAGATCCAGGCCCACCTCGACTCCCTTGTCTACAACGCCATCAACTCCATCACCACGCGGCTGTACGATGGATTCCAGTACTTCACCAATGGCATACTCTAGCTTAGGGCTCGGGCTCTGTCCTTGCGCTTCGTGTCGGTCAGGTCCGGTCTGGCCTGGGCTCACCTGGTCCGGTCTGGTCAGATAACCTTCGAAATCTTTGTCTTGAAAAAGTGCGTGATGTGAACTCCCAGAAACGAACTAACGCAAGAAAGACGAGGAGAGATGAACTCGCTCGGGGTTATTATTGGGTGATCAGAGTGAAATGTGTCCCTTTATTTTTTATTTCTTTTTTTTTTTTTTTCTTTTTGTCTTTCCTATCTCTCTTATGATAAAACTGTGTGGTGCTGGAAGCAGAACTCTGCTCAGAATATATATATATATTTATCACAGCAAATTTTTTTTTTTTTTTTCATCTTTATTTTATTTCTTTTTTTTATATAAATATATATATACTTTATCGTAAGGCCAAGAAACATAATACTTTTGGCGAAATGGAGATTACTTAGTGTAGTGAAGTGTAAACCGATTGTGAAAGTGTAAGAAACAAACACGATTTACCAAAGACAGGATCAAGGACTGAATACCGTTTTAACAGCAAAAAGTGTTTTAGTGTTCCACGGTTGGAAGTTTCACAAGTTTATATCTCAATGACTTTATTAAAAAAAAAAAAAAAATTAAATAAATTCAGTTGTGTTCAAACACTGATTCCATTTACATGTATATTTTTCCTGCCTCCCTCATCCGAACATGGAAACCTATGTCACTCTGTTAGGAAGTTTGTATTATGTCATACTCTCATTTATGATTATTTGATTACTTGCAGCTCAAATTTACAATTCATGGCTTGCACTTTTCATGATTTTTTTCCCCCCCAAGAACAAATTCAGTGATGATTATTATTATTATTGTTGTTATTATTATTATTGTTATTATTATCATTATTATTATTATTATTATTATTATTATCATTATTATTATTATTATTATTATTATTATTATTATTATTATTATTATTATTATTATTATTTATTTTTTTTGTACCTATTGTATCTCTTCAGTTTTGTGCTTTGCATTTTATCCTTTTCCATACTGCATTCCTGATCTGCCTGGAGCATAAGATTCAGTATTATTGTGTCCCTTTCTAGCTGTCCAGCATTCAGTGTATTTTTATATGATGCAGAAGAACTTTTCTGCTATTTACACAAATGAAAAAAAAAAACCGATCAAGGTTCTTCGGAAGAGAAGTAACGATATCCCGTTTAAGAAGCTTTAACAACTCACAAGAACCAGGAGTCCAGTTGCTAAGGAAGGCACTGAGCTCTGTGTTAAGTGCCAAGTGAGGGGTGCTGGTTGAAAAGGTGAAAGTTGTGCAGGTAAACTTCTTTTTTTTTTATATATATATATATATATTATGACTCTACTTCACTCAATGCAGCTAAAGACTCTGCAGTTATCTGTCATGCCACCTCAGGCAAGGAGAACTGAACGATTTTCGACGCCGTATGCCGGGCGTGTCGCCTCACACCTTACACGTTGCTCCAACTAAATGTCGCCATACTATCGTCCTTTATTTTTTAGACATCTCCCCTCTCACATTTTTTTTTTTTTTTTTTTTTCGTCATCATAGAGTTCATTAATATATGTTTTAATATTTATAAAGAAAGGTTTTGGCTACTTTAGTGGAGAATTAGTAAGGTTATCTCTTCCCACCCCCCCTTACCTTTCCTCCATTGCCTTTCCCCAACCTCTTTTTTACCCCCCCTTTCCCTTCCCTCC